AAGTAATCTCTATTTGCGGAATGCTTTTCATACAAAATTGCTTCACAGTCCATTCAAAACATTGAGGCCTATATCACGGTAGCGGGTTGCCATATATGGATATTTACACGAGACTTAAACGCACTGGGTCTTTACAGGAGATCACGTTGTAGGAATGACCCATTACATTCACGAACACAAGTGACATCTGGTTCAAATGCAAGAAATTTGCGTTTTTAATTAGGGCTATTCAACACATCCAGAGCAACTTTGAGAGGCCAATGAAGAACAATATTTGTGGCGAAAATTAAGTGAGGCTGACCAGAAACAGAGGAGGGGATGCGAAAGAAACAAATACACCTCATGACTCGCACGAAGCCAGGGAAAGCGATTTTACCCACTACGAGTGAGTAGAGAAGCCCAAACATGTTAGTTCTTACTTAGCTACTTAAGAAAGAGTGGTTAACTGTTACTGACAGAATAATGTTACAGATAGAATGTTCAACCAACTTATGCTTTCCAGAGTCCAGTGAAGATATTACTACGTTATCCTCTTTTTACACATCTCCTCCACTTCCTGCTGTTTTTTTCTGGGTGGTGATGTCAATTGGAAACGGTGCTATTTACCAGAAAGTCTAACCAAGAAAACTTTCATTCGAGAACGGCATTCGGCCTCAGAGCCATATTGAACATCCCTGATCTAAATAATATCCCACCCTCTGAAAACTGAATCCATGACTCGTTCATTTTATTTTTAAATGTTACATAGCCATTCAGTCATTTCACTTCCTTCCCCACTTGCATCAGCGTTGCTTTTCTTTTACTTGATATCATTACAACACATGCTGCAACATGTCAGTGACCAATCAACTAGACAGAGAGTTTTGTGTGTGGTGCAACAGTTTTGAGAGCAGAAAATAAATCAAATCGCAAATGTATTCACCAACATACCTGCCCTAATGAAAAAAAAAAGTCACAGCATCTGTAGTGTTGCCAGAGCGGACATAGGACAATGACATTTTAAACCAAAAATAGAATTATGATAGATAGTAGCGTTTACATATTATTTTCATGATACTAAAGAAAGTGTTCTTGAATGAGTAGGAGTTATTGAAAAACCAGTTTGTAACATACCAACAGTTTTAACGACTGACAGAACAACTTCTGAAATAACACTTTTTGTACCACTTACCAGCGCACACATACTGTAATTAAACTTGTCAAATTAAATACTCAATACACTTTTGATTGTGCTTCAACTGGATCTAACCTGTGTCCTTATCTGTGAGGAGAAGATTCGACCCAGGGGAATGTGGGTGTGTGACAATGGGAGGGATGGGAACCGCTCTGAGCTTTGGGGTGTGGGACACAGGAAGTGGGAGGTGTGCAGACCAAGGTGCCTCACGTACCCTTATATGGTCTTTGACGATAAAGAGGAGTCATCACCTGCAACTCCACCTTACATTTTTTGCAAAGCCGGTCATCAATACAAACACCAACTTTAAATAGGATCGATCACATTTTACAGCCCTCTTTCTCCTGTCGCACCTGCTGAGCTTGTTTCTGTAAAAAAGGTGAGCTTTATAGACCCATGCATCGTGCTTTCTCCACTATAACAATGTGTCAGTCTGCTACATGTTCAACTGCTATACCAGATGAAGAAAAGTGTGTATAGTTTTGTAAATGTCATAATTATGTGACTACACCAAAGTATCTGGGCTTGCAAAAACATTATGATGGTGAGATAAGACGTCACAAGCGTTTCTTCTACACCCATCGGTCACGTCTGGGCTTGTGCTGGACTCCAAATATTTCATACACTCCCAGACACGCAATGAGCCACGATGACTGCACACCTCCTACAAAACTCTTACAAAGTATTTTACTATGGATCTCTTATAACACTTTTGAGATGCACATTGCCTTCCTCAAGTTAAGAGGTTTTGTATTTTTGGATGTAAATGGATTCAAGCTGGATTAAAATTGTTGGTTTGAGATCTCAATATGTACAAAACTCTCCATTACTCAATTTACTTGGTCCTGCTCGTCCTCTGTTCAGACCTTTTAGTTCTAAATAACTAAAGGTCTATACAGAGGGTAAATTACCTGATAGAATCAATATAAAATGACAAGAACTTAATGGACATACACAACACAGGCTGTTGTGCATTGACAGATAAGAGCAGGTTTTGTTTCTGTGCTTAAGGCTGACAAGAGACCTTAAAAAGCAAATAAATCCATATAGCCTGTAGACTTCACCTAGCTCCTGAAAGACGAGCCCTGCCAAAGGGAAATGTTATTTCATACTAAAGAAAAGTGGAGCATGTTGTTTGGACAGAGATATTCATCACAGCAAATAGGAAAGACAATATGAGGAGAATGCACCGCTTTAAAGCCAGACGGGGGAGTATGAAGCCCAATCCAAAAGTCCAAGCTTACTTCCTCTCTAAGGCACAGAATGATTTGATCAAAACATTAGAGTAACTGAACAATGATCAGTTACTAATAGTTTTTCTCAATGGGGAGCCACATAAAAGCCCATGGTTTATCTGCTGATCTCTAAGCTCCAGAGGTAATGGGTGTGGAGCAGGCTGCAGGCCTTGAAGCAGAGCCCAGAGGGAGCTTGTGTGTCGCTGATGCTCTGGCTGACACCTGAGCCATTATCACTGATGATGGATCCATTTGGTCTCAACATAAGTGGTAAGTCAGCCACCGCGGCACGGTGGCTGAGTTGATAGCACTCTCGCCTCTCAGCAAGAAGGTCCTGGGTTCGAATCCCGGTCGGACCAGGGCCTTTCTGAGTGGAGTTTGCATGTTCTCCCCGTGTCTGCGTAGGTTTCCTCCGGGTACTCCGGTTTCCCCTACCACTAAAAACATGTCCAATAGTTCTGGCATGCGCCTCCTGTACTGGCCCCGCTCCCATCTCTGTGTGGAGTGAGAGACAAATGCCCAAAATTAACAATTGTAAACCGCTTTGAGACTCAGATCTGCAGTGAAAAGGCGGTATATAAATAAAGATTACTTACTACTACTTACTACTAAGAGAAGGACCTAAGAATTGCTTCATTTATTGTAGACTAAAAAGAGCATAAATCATAAATATAGCACACTTAACCAGGTAGTATGTTTCTGATACTAAACTGACTGAACTCAGAAACTGTGTGCCTTTATAACATGCAGAGGACTTGGGACTTCTACCCAGAGGAGCATCAACATCTGGAGATGACAGGATGCCCTAGTGGCATTGGAAGAAAGGACAATTGTAAAGGACATATTTCCAAACGGAAGCTGTGAAGTGTACCTCAACCATAACAATACTATAACTTGTATCAAACCATATCCATAATTCAATTTTTAGTTGTCAAAAAAATAGATTGAAATTAATGAATACGCAAAACAATGATTGTAGAATACAACAAGGACAGTCAAATATATATGACGTAAGTATATGAAATTCCATAGTGATTATTTATGAATGGTCATGTTGCCACAACCACTGGACTTTCTTCCTCAGTAGCTGACCAGTGCAGAGTAAGCATGCCAGCCACACCTGACCGCAGCCCTGCATACCTTCTGCATGTTTCCCTTGTATTTACTTTAGGCCAGTGGCAGTCTGATGATGACATAATCTAGGAAACTAGAGCTTTTCAGTGCAAGGCAGAAAACTGTGAGGGGGAATAAAGTTTTTCCAGCAGCAGCAGCAGCAGCTCAGCACATGAGAGGGGCTGATTATTACCATTTTTGGGCACGCTTGCTCCCATACAAGCCCTGCCCTAACCACAGCGCTTACTCAGATTCCAGCAACTTTTCTTCCCTCCTATTTTTCAAACTGTGCTGTGAACAGCATCACTGGAAACACATGAATGCCTGAACATATTTCAATTTTATGAAATCAGTCTGAAACAGAACTAAAAAAAGTTACAAAAAGACATTGAATTTACAACTTCAAAACAGCCTAAAGGGTAGAAGCTATTATAGTCATGTCCAAACCAACCTTGCGTGTATTGGGTGAAACAGTTCTAAACCAGTTCTAAACCAGGTAATAACGATGACAATATCCTAACCTTATATGGCCTTATGACTTCTATCCATAGAAATATAAAATCCCCAGACCAGGTCAATGCCTGGTGGTGCTAAGCAGGTCCAAACCAACACACAGCTCAGTGTATATAATAATACTAAATTGGCACTCAAGCAAACCAAATCAGCCTAAACTAGATAACAGTCCTCTTGCATCACCACCACACACACATAACCACTGCTGTAGATTTACTATGAGAACAGAAAGGAGGACACTGGCTCACTTTAGGGTTGCCCAGACAGCTCTTAAAAATCACCCACATTCAGCCCGTGCCAAAACCCACATGTTATAGTGGTAGTTTGCACAAAACTTGGCGCCTAAACAGGACACATTAGTAACAGAAAAACATCCACCCCCCTCGAGCTTTGCCTTTGCGCGCACAGAGCATAGTAAACCCGGTCTAATCCGCGCCCCCAATCATAAGAAGAAGCCATATGACAGGCCCGGCGCTGACATCTGTTGCTTGGGAAAGGTAGGCAGCTTTAATTGCCTTCATGCCCCGCGTCTCTCCTCCCTCATCTTGCCCCGTTGCCGCAGAGATAATGGGGAGGTGGGCCTCACGTAATTACGGCTACAGGACAATTCATAGAGCCATACAGGATGTGGGCAAGTGTCTCCAAGGGATCATTTCACGAGCGGTGGAAAAGTTATTAGCAATAGTTAGAGTAATGCTGGTACTGCGCCAAAACGCACGGGTGCACATCCAAATTCCAGTCTCGCCTTTATTGTATAGTAGTAGTAATATGACTTCCTGTTTCCATCGCCTCCGAGTCATCCAGGTTATTATGCCTTTCATTCCAAGCATCTGGACACAGTTTGTACGCCTGTATCTACTGCTAGAGAAGTTACATTGACTCACTTCCTGGTAGTGAAACAATTGCCAGTTTAGGGACGCGCTACACATCCTACCTCCAACAAGAAGAGTGACTTTGGGGCTTACCTTTCGTTGCTGCTTCTCCCATGCAGGATCCAGGAGCATATCGCGGTCCCAGTCGTCTTCCTGGTGCATGTAGTTAGTCTCTCCATCGTAGGAATCCATTATTGTGTGTGCTGGAAGCTAGTACAGAGGGTAGAAAAAGAGTGTGTGCCGGGTCTAGGCGAGGTGATGTTACAGCTGTAGCCTGTAGCCAATGTGACGCCTCTCCTCCGCGCATTCACTACGCTGACTGTGGCTGAAATGTGCGGTCCACCCCCGGCTTGCCTCTCTCACTAACTCGCCCACTCCGTTTCCAGCTATTTGCCTCCTATTTCTTCCGCTATTTGTCTAGTGCTCCGTCGGCAGGGCTACTCGGCAGTTCAAGCAGGCAGGCGCGTAAGTGGGAGGCAGGTCCACACAGGCACAAAACTTTGCTTCAGACAAATTGAATCGATAACTGGATCCGTGTTGTGATTGGACACATCTAGAGGTGAAGTCCCGCCTTCTGTACGTTCATTGGCTGGCCGCGCTGTCACCTTGGAGGCTTTATATCCAAGGTTGAGTGCGTGGCTTGATCCAACCACTCTGCGTCTGACGGTAATTAGCCCGCAATAACAACAGCATGAGCACACCCTATTCAATTGACAGCTTAAACTTTTACAGGCCCAGTGTGTATTGTAAGCAAAAGTTTGAGGTTTTATAACCCCAGAGAAACCCAATTATTGCCTTATGTAGATTAAAACAGATATAGTCTCATTTGTCTATGTCAAAGTGAGATGTAATAAAAGTGTGTTGTTGACTTGTTATGTTGTATATATTTAAAGTTGTTGGGTATAGTTTAAATCTTCGGCTATTGCCTGGGATGGGTCTTTTTTCTTTCCCCTCTGTCAGGGAAATAAAGATTCTCTTATCTTATCTTTTTACTCATAATCATAGTCGTTTTGAACTGGGGTACCCAACTTTCAAACCACAGAAAATTGTGATCAAATCTATGTAACTAGTCCTGGCTCTCGAAACTGTTGTGTTCTATCACTATAGTTTTCAGACGGCCTGTCATTTTTGCCTCTGTCCCATCTTTGGATCAGCTTTTTCAAATAGAAAAGGAAAAAGAGAGGACCATCCCCACTCAGCCAATCAGCTCTCAGGCCAAAGCATCAAGTAGTGACTTACAAGGCTCTTTCTAATGAGTGTGTAAAAAGATTACGTTTTCTAATAAGATGTGGGCAGTATTGCAGTCTGATTAGTTCACAACCTCAGCCTTAAGTGGGTCCTTCAATGCCTTAGTTAGGATCAAACTACAGACTCAATCAACAGGTCTAGGTTTTCTATGGATGCTCCAATTTGGCTCATGATTGAAATTGTCAATGCAAGCACTGACATATGGTCAAACTTCAAATAGAATGTACAGGTAATGTTGTATCATAACAGTCTGTGCTCAAAACACACATTTATCTCCACAGACACGTCTGAGATCACTGTGTTATCAGCTTGCTCTGTAAATCACTGGTGATTCCCATGAGCACTTGAGCTGAACACTTTTCTCTGTTCAAACCACTTAAGCCTTAAGATCCCAGCAGCCTTCATTTGCACATAACTGTCAATGGGGGAGAAAGGTGAGTCTAGGAGTGGGCCAGATAAACATTAGCCGGGCTGGTGCAGGTCCGGAGCCTTGTAAGGTAAACTGCAGAATGTCACACAGGCCTGAGAAGACCGAGCTAAAGGGATCGCCCCGTCTGCTGATGTGGGGAAGTGCAGTCTCTCCTTATATGGGCATGGCTTTGAGTACAGGCAGAAATGTTTGGGAAGGTGATGTCACATATATAGAGAGAGAGTAGAGAGTAATCCACCCAGGACTAAACCAGGGCTGAACTGGGTCTAAAACCAGAACTAGTAAAACAAGTCTGATTTGAACTATCGTGGCTGAACTGGGATTAAAAATGTGCTGAGACTAACCAGGAGCAACACATGGTGGGCTTAGGACAAATCTGAAATGACTAACTACTGTGCGCTATAAAAGCATCCTTGTCAGCCCGCGTAGTGATAAAAGGGACTTGTAAAAGCAGCAGACCTGAGATACAGCACTTTTCCACCATTAGTGGATCATGAATTCATTAAGATGATGCCTGCCTTCCAGCAACACACAGTAAAACACTTTTCCGCAGAGTCATGTAATGCTAATTGAAAACATTACTTATCAATATACTGTACGCTAAGGAGCTTGGAAAGGGGAAAAACTCAATGTCAAGTTAAGGGAATATAAAAAAAAATATAATAGTAATCAGAGAAAAAACATGCAAAAATGTTAACAAAGCCTTGAAATGTGAGTTCATCAAAGTGTTTGGTTCATTGATTTTGGATCTGATACGTCAACATGGAAGTTTGTGTTAAATTGCCGCAATAAGACCACACACTAAACATAAAACTTGCATGTGAAAGTCAGATTCCGTCAGATCTCTGCTGCTAAGAAGGGCCTGGTTAAAACTTTGATGGGAGACCTCTGGAATCTCCAGGTGTCACAGTGTTGTGTCCTTAAGCAAGACTCTTCACCCATGTGTGTGTATACGTGAATGGTTGGTGGTGGTCAGAGGGGCCGATGGCACATACTGGTTGCCTCACTTCTCCCAGTGTGCCCCAGGGCAGCTGTGGCCACAATGATAGTTTATCACCACTGTGTATGAAGTGAAAGAATAATGTAATGTGAAGCGTCTTTGAGTGTCCAAAAAGCACTATTTAAAATCAACACATTATTATCATTATAAAAGGTGTAAGTAGATCAAACTAATTTGGGAGAAAATTGTTTTACCAACTCTTTATATTCCCCAAAAGACCAATAATACACCCTTTTACTTGCCTTTAGACCTTCAAAAATAATTATTATGCACCACCTTTAATCAGAAGTGAACATGAGTGACCCAAGCCACACTGGACTGGACCCCCACAGATCAGGGAGGGGGGCTGCTCATGTCCGTTTGACAAGGAGCTAATTTCCTCCGCAGCAGATGATGGCCTGTTAAATGCTCCAGTTAACTGATTGTAATTAACCATTCAGACGTGATTAATTTTCTTGTGGCACGCTCCAAGACTCCTCTGGTGACTCAGGCAAAACTTGTATGGCAACAAGACGTTTAAAGTGTGGTTAGCACTGGTGGAACTGGTTTGACTGGTGTTGGCAGCTCACAGATTTTTTGTTTTAAGTACTTTCGGATTCCAATTTGTATTTGTTTTTTTGGTTTTGTTAAGGTTTGGTTGTGTTTTCCTTTCTGTTATTCGTAGTAGGGGGAATGCAGTAAGGCCTGTTACAATAATTACTATAATGACTAATTGTTCATCAACCAATCCTGTTTAATTTTTGGACTTCAAAATTTATGACACATGTAGATGGTTCAATATGGCAAAATATTTCTTCATTCTGCTGTTCATTTTCTCAGCTCAGACTTTTTGACGAAATGACAAACTTGAATCATCCTCTTTTTTTACATCTATTCTACCACAAAAAGCAGATTTTACAATATTGTCCATCCAAATGAGTGACAGGAGAGAACACAGTCCTCCCTCTGCTTTTCTCTAGTGGCACTTTGCCGGACCATATATTGTGAAGCAGTGTCCCAAACTCAGTGATGTTTGGAGAGGAATTCACAAATACCAGGGCCCTGTGTTAAAGCTGTGGTCCATGTATGGGATCTTAACCAGGGTAATCCCACTGGACTGAAAAGTATTTAGGTCTAAGCCAAGAGTCCAATGTTATGGGACATGTCCAGAAAGGAGATACAATGAATCTTTCAGTTGCCTTATTTGTCTTTGTGCATGGCATATTATCATCATGTACTCACATTACCTGCAGGTTACATGTCAGATCAGTGGAGAGGGGACACTGTTTACTGAAAGATTGGTTGCTATGTGTTTTTGCTCCTTTAAAAACTTCAGACAAAACATAATCTTAGACTGGCCGTAGGTGGTGGATCCCCTTCGCAAGAAAGGTTACATAGTGCACTATTAAAAGAATCAAGGAGAGATAAACGTAATGGTGGTAAAGTGTAGTAGTAGTTTTTCTATTCAAAGTAATACAATATACTTTTGCATTGATAACACAACTGGAACTTAAAACAATAAATAACATGATGTAAAAATGTGAAAGTTGCAAATTAAAATATATTGTAGCAACAATTCAATTCAATTCAATTCATACTTGTATAGCCCTTAAATCCCAGTAGTAATCTCAGAGGACTTTACACAACCGTTGAATTTGCTAGCACAGATCAGAGAATCAAACAACTATGGCGTCTTGACTATCTGTGTTTGTGAAAAGATGTTAACTCATTTACAGAATTGTTGTTTTCTTGGCCCATACATCATAGTAAAGCTTGTCTTAAGCCTCACTGAGCGGCAGCTGATCCCAGACGTACTCCGGTGGCAGTTCTCAAAGCTGTGGTTGTCCGCGCCCCTCCCTGTTTAAACGCAGCCTATAGACGAGTGTTTACTGCTGTTAACTCTGCCTGGATAAATACTGATAGAATGGGCCATTGTGCACCAGTTTCAGCTAATGACCGCTGCAGTCTGGTTACAACAATATCACTGTGTCGTTAAGAAAAGCAGCAGTGGGAACGAACAGATATATGTTGTAAAGTGGTAGAAGAAAAAAAGCTGACAGTACTGAGCAATTAATCAAATCAACGCAGCATATGACAGTCAGCTGGCTCCTGTCACTTTTAATATTGACAAACTACCAGGATCAGCCACAACATAACGACCGTACTCGGCACTTCAGAGATGCAGACTTCATTATAGCGATACTGGAATACACTGATTTAGGAAAAGTGTGTTTTGAGTTCACACTTCCCACATGCTGCACTTGTTAGAGCTGCGATTCCGAGATAATATACATCAGTCGTCACAATTTATTTTTGTGAAAACCCAACTATAACAAGTTATTTTTTAAATGATGTCAATGAGAATTTGTGTGATTTCAAATTCTGGATTTCCTCAAACCTCTGTATTGGTCTGTTTGAAGAGTTTAGTACCATGTATCTTTTTACATTATATGTCCTGAACCCGAGTCCCTAACTTTCAAACCACAACAGATTGAGCTACAGTATGTAATTAAATTAATCTTAACTAGTTCCTCACTCTCAAATTAGTTTGGTTCTGTCACCATGTTTTTTTAGGCCTCTGAAAACAATCAGATTTTTCAGACAGGAAAGTAAAAAGACCGGACCATAATCAATCATGTGGTCTGATTTGATTCATATTTTACAGATTTAACAAAAAATATGAACAGTTTATGAGAAAAGTTAGTTCAAGTCATCATATTAGTTGACAAAAACTAACACATCTTATTAGCAACATTTTCTCTATTCAGTGTACTAACACAATAGTCACACTGGAGAGCTATTCTATAATGTCATGCATGAAGTGGTGTGTGCCCAAAATCCCATTTAAAAGTGGCTGTCCCAGTGCTGCACAGCGGTGAAACGAAGGGTGTCCGCTTCCTGCAGATAAGTGCTGACTGCAACTGGACCAAACAGTGACGGGCGCAGACAACAGAGGAGCGCAAACATCTCAAAAAGCCTTTTACCAAACGCCAGCCAAACTTCAGCGAACACACTGTGCCAACTGGAGGAGAGGCGTGATGCCATTTGCTCCTTTTGTTATGGTTCTTGACAAAAAGCCGGGCTGCCCTGTGGTCCGCAGACACGAGTTAAGTTTCCAGATGATGTAATGAGCTCCCTGGACAATCGGCGCTGTGTTGGAGATTTGAATGGGCACTCTATAAAAAGTGACGGGGCTATTTGGGGATTGAAAGGCATTACAGAAGTGAATGTAGTAAAAGGGTTGTGCTAGGTAAGACCATTCTTTTTATTGGCTTGTGTGAATGTGGGTCACTATTAGCTGTATATTTAGTCATGGTAGTAAAACACGCACACCTGTCTAACAAAATGACAAAGTAACAAATGAAAACAAGCATGTGATATACAAACTGAGAGCTGATTGGGTAAGTGAGTGCTTGGTTTTTTTCTCTACTGATAAAGCTTTAATAAAATGGTGACAGCTTGCAAAAATAAATAATTTTAACCTCATATAAGGCTGATACATATATGGACTTTTTATTGTGTCTTTTTCTGTTGACCTTGGCCCTAAGCAAATCTCTCAAGAATATTTAATGTTAAAAAGATGTATAATTTGCATATTTCATGTAACTAAATAAACACAGAAATCCTTACTACTGGCCAGGATGTTTTGTTAAATGTAAAATGCATGTCTCTCGTTGGCACAGTGCTTCAGGTCATGGTGGTTTGCTTCCATGGCAACCAGCACCAAATGCAGCATGACTTCTTGGGTTAACATATGCTAACATTAAAAAGTAAAAAAAATAAAAACCATAAAAGAGCGCTAGAGAAGATGCACACATTAAGAAGAGAAGAAATGATCCTTTAATTGGATGAAAACAAAGTGGCAGTTACCCAAAAGGCCTTGATAATGGAGAGACCACACTACACAAAAGTGAAGTATCCGGTTTGAACAAATTGTTTGTTTTTTTTAGGATTTCTGAGAGACATTTGACACAGTCCATTGTCCATGAAGTGCTCAAAGACACTCCAGATCATTTAGTAAAACAAAAATAGGCACAGATCCAAGCTCTGTTTCAAATTAAATAGCAGGAAAGCCTTTGTCCTTCAGTTTGTTCATTTGTTAGTTTGCTCAAAAACTCAAGAATGGAGAACACATTCAGCGTTAGGGAAAAAACACAGCTAAAGGAAAATTCACATAAAATATTTCTGTTATCAACAATATTTGTACAGTTTTAATGTCTTGTTGGTTTGACCTCAGACTGTCCCATTTGTTCTATAACAAAAACAATCCTCTTTTCATTGTTTATCATCAGTCTACAACCCACATTAAAGTTGTAAAAACAATAGAAAAAAATTGCTTCCTGGCAATCTGAAATGTCTTGTAGATGAAAAATAATTATGTCTTTATTTTTTTCTCAGAGGAAGTGGCCTCTCCTTCCTCTGCGTAAGTTCTTTTCAAGTTGCTGTGAGTCTTTGCGTGGGACAGTCCCGCCTCTTCATCTGAATCAGAGGACGCCACAGTCCGGTGCTGTCCGTTCAAACCTGGACTCAGCCGATTGTCCTGCGAGTTACTACTGCTGCCCATTTCAGCCACCGCAGTCCTCAGCTCCTCGTCTCTAGCCGTCCGGTCTTCTGCTTCCTCCTGCTCCAGACTCCCCTGAGACATGACCGGGCTGGGACACACAAAATCTGAGGGGCTCAGAAGGCGCTTCCCCTTTTCTCGTTTCCGTGGCTTTACTTCCAAGCTCTCCTCGTTTGACGTGGACGACGACATGTCCTCCACGGAGATGGACGGGTAGCTGCAAGAGTCTATGGCTGAAAACAGGGATTGCACAGATTCGGGTCGGTCTTCCGCTCTGGAGACAACGTTCATTCTCCTCCGGCGCATCACGTTCCGCCTTCGGACTGCACTGCGGCGCTCCTCATCGTCGCTGCTCGAGCTAGAAGTGGACGAAGAGGAAGATGAAGCCCCAGCGGGTAGTGAGGGAGATGAGGACGGACTGGACAGAGTGGAGTTCTCTCTGGGACTCGGGGATCGCGGCCTGGGCATGGGGTCCAACCAAAACTCGCTGGAATCTGAATCTTCGTGGACGAGGAAAGACGACTGAGGCCTTTGATTCCTGCCGCTGCTGCTTCTTCTTTTGCGCTCCTCTTCGCCGTCAGAAACATCTGGAGCAGCCAGCGATGAAGACGAAGAGTTGTCCGAATCTGTGTTTTGCACGGTGGGAGGGGCTGGTGTGGCGGGCGTGGTCCTAGTCGCCCGGCGCCCCCTAGCGTGAAGCTGCATGATTGCCTCTTCGCTCAAGTCGCTGTCTGAGTCGGAGCTCCAGCCCTCGATCTCCCTCCGGACCAACGAGTCGAAGAAGGCCATCATGCGGGGGTCCTCCTGGATGGACTGGGACACATAGTCGTGGGACAGTCCGCTGCCGCTGTTCAGGACCAGGCTGATGTACTCCTCGTGTGTGTACAGGCTGCGGGACAGGTCCTCCACGTGGCCGTCCAGGTCTCCCAGACTCTCGGGCTGCAGGTACGGGCTCCACAGCTGAACATACACGCACACACACACACACACACACACGGTCATATTTACCCATGTTACCCATGTGAGAGGAGGGGCAGGCAAAACTTATATTGTTATTTGAAGATGAAAACTAGGAAAGATATGTCACAATTTTAAATTAGGTGTATTATTAGAATACATTTTTCATTACTAATCAATACGACAATAATCACCTCATCTTGACCCTGCTATAAATGTATCTTAAATCCTAACATGCAAAGAAATGTAATTAATTATTGGCAATGAGTTTTGAGCATTATTATAGAATAAAAAATAAAAAAATTAATAATGTTTTAATTTTCAACTACAAGCAGTTTTTCCCAAATTGTTCTATATGTTAAGATGGGTAATCAACAACCATACAGTACAATTTGTAGTTTATATTAAACCTAGGGTGGTAATGGCCACTTCTAGCTTTTATTAATGTATGTATTTTAAATCAGTAGAAGCCTTGTCAGAACAAAACATGGAAGGAGCAGAGAGTGTGGAAATGGGTTGATAGCATCTCAGCAGAGCATCTGGTTAAATCTTTCACAACATGAAGCAGAACACAACAGAGCTATGAGGGATGGTGTCACTAATTCTATTCAAAATTAGATAAATAAATAAAATGCAATACACAGAAAAAAGACAATGGAAAACATCTGTTCTGACCTACACCCCCCTCAAAAAAAGTAAAAAATAAAATGTTCTTCACTTTGGCACAGGACTTATAATCTATTTACCATCCTCACATAGCAGTTTTATAGTGTCTACATCTATAAAATGTAGACACATCATATAAAAACAACAGACTTAGATTTAAGTATAAAGCTCCACAGGTGGAGTCTGAATGAAGCATGAAAGACAATCAATGGCCGGACACAGTCGTTGTTTGGGTCAGTGCAGGTAACCGTGAATCATATTGGAACAGAGAAATCCCACAGCAGGGGTCAGAGACAGGAGCACATCTGACTCAGAGGAACTGTACTCAGACCAGAGCAGAGGCAGAAATTTGAATGCAAGATGCAGCCGTCATTTTTGATCAAAAGATACCATTTACTAATAATATAGTGTATAACTTTGCTGGTTGTGTCAAGAACAGAGATGGTAAAAGTAATATCTTGTCTGTATATCTGAGAATAGCATTGACACAGGCTTTTCATGACCAGGTTTGTTGACAAGGTTTCTCGTGTATCATTCCCAAACTCAAAATAAACACGTCATTTATGCAGCTTTATGTAAATGTGTCCAAGTGTACAAACCTTGATGACCTTCTCCACCCCGGAGGAGCAGATCATGTAGGTGTGAGGGTTGAAGCGGACCTGGTTCACGATGGACCTGTGCCCCTTCAGAACCATAAAGGCCCCATTCACCACACGCCCTGGACCTCCTGACAAAAGGGACGACAACAACACATGTGGTTATAACTCTTCAATGTCACACTCGATATTAAATCAAACACCCACTGCTGCAAAAACATGCTCAAAATTACATATGCTGCTCCCGGACAAAAAATAATGCAAGCAGTATGCTGATGGACTGACACTGGATCGGCCCAGGGCACATACTTTCTGAGTTGAGTAAGGCCAGAGAAAATAAAAAGCTAAGATGTGTCAGGATTGGTATACAGAGACAAATGAGGGCTTATTTTTGGCTGTGGGATTGTGCTCAGACAGAAGCAAGGAGAGGCCAATAAATGCTGCAAATCAAATTAAATGCGGTTTCAAGTTTAAAGATGGGGCCAGTTGACAAAATATCTCGGAGTAGGTTATATGTTTTGTACTCAGATTTTAATGGGTTTTCAAGAGTTCACTTTAAAGATGTGTGACTGAGTTGAAATCTTGAACATCCTGTCCTGAAGTAGCAGGGCGTACTCTGCTTAAATGTGATAGCCAAAGATAACCAACCGGCTTTGGACATCAAAATATTGAAAACAGCATTTAACTCAGCACTCAATCCTTGAACATCTAAATATGATCTTAAACAAATCGAGTTTGCACACTGTTGATTCGGCTTCACAACCAATTTCCATTTGTACTCGGGTAAGAACAGTGGGCGTGTCCTTGTAATGGTGAGGGTGCAATGGTGTCTTGGATGTAGAGAATGAAAAAAAACTTGCTCAACGATCCATCAGACAACAATCCAAAGATTTGCCTGGTGAATTCCAAGGCTGGGTTATCATTTGGGTCCCAGGCAATCCAAAAAAGCCTTATATGAGAAGGAAAAACAATGATGACGTTGTTTAAAAACATAACTGGGCATTCTAGGGAAAAAATATCAACTTTCAATTTGATCCTTTTTCATAAGGATATACAACCTTGTAATATTGTGAAATTCAAATGAAGAGGTACAGACAGATGCTGTCCGTCCCTGGCTCTGGTCATTCTCCTAAACACCTGAATGTTATTCCACTTCGGCTGTTACTGCCGCATCATTGACATCTCTCAATTTTATCAAGATTACAATCTTTGCCATAGCAAAATAAAGATGTTCCCATATGAGTCCATAAAAGAACAAAACATGAACAAATTGTGGCTCATAGTAGAAATTCCTTCTACAATGATCGGAAAAGGACTGCAGTCAAGATCAATAGTAGTTCCTTTTCTCTGAAAAAGTTAATTTTCCAAATGAACTGAGGGCAAACCACAGACTGTGCAAAGAAAAGTCAGTCTTTCTGTCTGTGGTTGAACAGCAGCAGGACGAGAGTTTGTTTGGCCTCCTCTTGACGCCGTCCAAATTCTAAACCTTCCAAAAATCAAGTGAAGATGAGATGGAAACGAAAAACACTATGACACAGCATATTCTTTCAGATTGAGGATTGGAAAGGAAATCCTGGCAATTATAAAAAATATAATTTGAGGCCAGCTGTCTTTTTAACTAAGAGTTTGGCAATGTGTCTGTGCAACAAATTTGATTTTAAACATAATTCAACTACTGCTGTGCACAAGCAGAAACAAAAAACACTAGAACATGTGATTTGATGTTTACAGCTGCCAAAGACCCAAAAAACATTAAGACAGTAACTCACCCGCTTCTGGGTCTTTTGGGATCTTCCACATATAAAGGTTAAAGTCGTCAGAGCCAGACAAGATGTACTGTGGAGAAAAGAGACAATACTATAATTCTGCGCTAAAACGTTCCAAACATCCAGGCGAGGTTATTAGTATGTAGAGCAAAGGCAGCAATTATCTCAGGGACATGTTTCCTCTTGTTTGATAAAACACACTCTCGTCTCCACAGGGCATTTTGACCCCAACAGGCTCCTGTAGATGCCTGCTACACTGAGCTAACATATGGTTCCACTTACAGCCGTCTTTAAAAGTACATTTTGACAAGAAAAACAGAGGCCTGGGGCAAACATGTGTTGAACAGTGACTTCTGTTCTATTCATACGTGTGTGGGTCCAAATACGTGTTAAACAACTTCTTATTTCTTAGTGACTTTTCTACACTGATGATGAACTTATAACATCATATATAGGGATTAGTATATAGTGTACTACAATCTTCATGCACACGCTCAGCTTGGATACAGGGAAAAACTGTAAGATGATCTTAACAAAGCCAGAAACAAATCTATGTTAAATTAACTCCCATTTATTATTCCCACATATCCTTTTTGTTTAGATGAAACTAAAGTTCTGACGAGATTAAATGTAACCTTTAAATTTGACTTGACATATTTCCACTCGCTTTCACCATTAATAACTTTCACATAACATACTTCATGGAGCCATGCTGCTTTAACACTTGTCCTGTGCTGTTGGTACAATCACAGCCCGTCCATGTTTGATTTACTTTTGAGGCTTTATTGAAACCACAGAAAAAACAAACCCACATTTTGTACAAATATGTTCCCGCCGTGAAAGTATATTTATGTTTCATTAACTCATTTAGTGCTGCTGTTTTAACCCAGTGCTTGAATTCCAATTTGGAAGACAAAAACAAATAATTGCCACACACACACAACTAATTATTTTATATATATATATATATATATATATATATATACACAGTGCCTTGCGAAAGTATTCGGCCCCCTTGAACCTTTCAGCATTTCGCCAGATTTCAGGCCTCAAACATAAAGATATAAACATTAAATTTTTTGTCATGAATCAACATCAAGTGGGACACAATCGTGAAGTGGAATGAAATTTGTTGGATAATTTAAACTTTTTTAACAAATAAAAAACTGAAAAGTGGGGCGTGCAATATTATTCGGCCCCTTTACTTTCAGTGCAGCAAACTCAGTCCAGAAGTTCAGTGAGGATCTTTGAATGATCCAATGTTGTCCTAAATGACTGATGATGATAAATAGAATGCACCTGTGTGTAATCAAGTCTCCGTATAAATGCACCTGCTCTTTGATAGTCTCAGGGTTCTGTTTAAAGCGCAGAGAGAACCATGAAGACAAAGGAACACACCAGGCAGGTCCAAGATACTGTTGTGGAGAAGTTTAAAGCCGGATTTGGATACAAAAAGATTTCCCAAGCTTTAAACATCTCAAGGAGCACTGTGCAAGCAATTATGTTGAAATGGAAGGAGTATCAGACCACTGCAAATCTACCAAGACCCGGCCGTCCCTCCAAACTGTCATCTCAAAAAAGGAGAAGACTGATCAGAGATGCACCCAAGAGGCCCATGATCGCTCTGGATGAACTGCAGATAACTACAGCTGAGGTGGGAGAGTCTGTCCATAGGACAACAATCAGTCGTGCACTGCACAAATCTGGCCTTTATGGAAGAGTGACCATTTCTCAAAGATATCCATAAAAAGTCTCTTAAAGTTTGCCACAAGCCACCTGGGAGACACACCAAACATGTGGAAGAAGGTGCTCTGGGCAGATGAAACCAAAATCTAACTTTTTGGCCACAATGCAAAACGATATGTTTGGCGTAAAAGCAACACAGCTCATCACCCTGAACACACCATCCCCACCTCAGCTGTAGTTATCTGCAGTTCATCCAGAGTGATCATGGGCCTCTTGGCTGCATCTCTGATCAGTCTTCTCCTTGTTTGAGATGAAAGTTTGGAGGGACGGCCGGGTCTTGGTAGATTTGCAGTGGTCTGATACTCCTTCCATTTCAATATAATTGCTTGCACAGTGCTCCTTGAGATGTTTAAAGCTTGGGAAATCTTTTTGTATCCAAATCCGGCTTTAAACTTCTCCACAACAGTATCTCGGACCTGCCTGGTGTGTTCCTTTGTCTTCATGGTTCTCTCTTCAAACAGAACCCTGAGACTATCAAAGAGCAGGTGCATTTATACAGAGACTTGATTACACACAAGTGCATTCTATTTATCATCATCAGTCATTTAGGACAACATTGGATCATTCAAAGATCCTCACTGCACTTCTGGAGTGAGTTTTCTGCACTGAAAGTAAAGGGGCCAAATAATATTGCACGCCCCACTTTTCAGTTTTTTATTTGTTAAAAAAGTTTAAATTATCCAACAAATTTCATTCCACTTCAGGATTGTGTCCCACTTGATGTTGATTCATGACAAAAAATTAAAATTTTATATCTTTATGTTTGAAGCCTGAAATCTGGCAAAATGTTGAAAGGTTCAAGGGGGCCGAATACTTTCGCAAGGCACTGTATATTATATCCATCCATCCATTTTCTTCCCCTTAATCCATTTCTGGGCCGGGGGGTGGCCAGAGATGCCACCCAGTTCACAGAGCACCAGCCCCTCACTGATCCTCCTGCAGGTGGTGAGTCCACAGGAGCTGAGATCTTCCAGCGGGGGCTTCAGGCAAAGTGGGGTTAAGTGTCTTGCCCAAGGACACAACGACAGCAGTCATCAGTGGGAGTCGTGAAGTAGGTCTTACGGTGGGCTCGAACCCACGACCTTCAGGCTCAAAGGCCAATGCTCTACCAACTGAGCTACTGTCGCCCCTTTTTATATATATTATATACAAAGTTTTAAAAGAATATGCGCGTGACCGCGGGGCACTGGCTGTTGTTTGGCAAGATGGCGGACGCATTTGTTTGGAGCCTTTTTTGAGCTGCACGTTTTTTATGATTTATTTTTAAACTAAGTTTCTTTTACTGGTTTTATTTGCCCTACTCGACGGAGTAAGCGGATTTTAACAGACTGCATAAAAAAGGATTACTGTCACTTTTAACAGGACTGTTTATCAGCCTTTTACCGGTAACCAGCCTGCCCACACACATCACCATGGACACCGATGCTCCCCCCGCCAACTCATACAAACAAATATACAAATCACAACTGGCTTCAATCCTCCCATCCAAACCTGTAAACACCATGACCCCCGAGGAACTTCAGCGCACTGTCAAAGAACTATCCACCGAACTCATACATAAAGAGAAACTTCTGGAACATTTCATGGACATATCATTCAAACAGTCACAGCAAATATCCCTCTCCGTACTCAGACAATCACAGCTCCACGACACTGCACTCTGGGATCCAATCGCCTGTCCTCACCCCTCATCATGCTCTACCCCGGTGCTTACCTCACGCTCCCCGGTTGCAGCTGTCCCTCTTGGTGCTCTTCCCTCCTCTACGGTCCCGGAGCCTGCTGCCCATACCCAGAGCGGCGTGGAGCAGAGGCCTGGAGGCCACACGACATCCACGGCGTCCTCGCGCCGCAGGTTGGTGGAGGAGGCTGTGCGCAGACGCTCGGGGAGCTTCCCACGCTCTAAAACAGCGCGGGGCTCTCCGGGTGTCACGCAGGACCAACTGCGGGAAGCCCCGGGGGGATCTCTGTGCCCCGACGCGGCACCGGATACCCCCGGGAGCGCTGTCCCTGCTGTGGGAGGGTCCGTGCGCTCTGACGCGGAGGGAATCCCCAGAGGCGAGACACAAAGCAGGTCCTACGCTGAGGTGGCCGCGGGGGGACCTCTGCGCCGTGCCGCGGCGCAGAGTCCTCCCGTAGTTGCTGCCTCGCCCGCGGGGGGGTCTCTGCGCTTTATCTCAGCGCGGAGCTCCCCCGCGGAGGCTGTCTCGCCTGCTGGAGGATCTCTCCGCCCGGTGCATGGCCCTCCCACAACCGCCCGCACTACCACCACCACCAACCCCGCTGCAGGGGCGCCGGTTCGGTCTCCGGCTCCCTCCTTCTGCTCCACTGCAGCTCACGGGGCTCGCAGCAGCTCTGCTCCGGGCGCATCCCAACGCTCTCCTGTCCCCTGCTCTCCCCCGGGTCCTACTCCAGTCACTCCCTCCCCTCCACGACCTCTGTTCGCACCAACTACACTCCTGGTGGGGGACTCTATCATCAAGCACTGTAAGTTCTTCAATGCCATCACACACTGCTTTTCCGGAGCCACTGTCCCTACCATCCTCACGAAACTACCCGCACTTCTACAGACAGCACCCCCCACAATAACCCGGATCATAATTCATGTTGGTACAAATGATGCTGCACTCCGCCAATCTGAAATCACCAAACTCCATTTTAAGGACCTTTTTAACCTTTTATCAAAAACCGGAAAAAGTGTTTTTATCTCTGGCCCTCTGCCCACGTTGAACCGGGGCGTGGAACGTTTTAGCAGGATACTATCACTCACCACTTGGCTTCAAAAATCATCACAGCAGCACAACTTTGGTTTTATTGACAATTTTAATTTGTTCTGGAACCGCCACCCCTTCTTCACACCCGATGGACTCCATATCAATAAACTCGGCACCCGGTACCTGATTTCAAACATCACCCACTCAGTTCAATCCCGTCCCCCGCACCTCTGACAACCCATCACTCCATCCCACATCATTCCTGCCCCGCTGGACTCCAACATCAGTCCCTGCTCCCCCCCCCAACAAGGAATTTCAGTTCTGTCCAGACCCCGCCCCTACAGACCGTCCATACTCCGGAAACCGTCCCTCAACACCCTCATCCCTGTTGCCCTTTGCTCCTCCACATCATCTTCTCCCCTCACTACAAACAAAAATGACTCTCCATCCACCATCAGGTTTGCTCTTTTAAATGTACGCTCTCTTTTAAATAGAACTTTTATCATTAATGATTTGATTTTACAACACAAACTGGATGCTATGTTTTTAACTGAGACCTGGCTGGGTCCGGATGCTCCGGCTGTTCTCACAGAGACCTCCCCTCCCGATTTTA